AAGTCCAAAATTGCTGGACAGCTGTCTTAACTTCCAACAAATGGAATCGTTGTGTCTCCAATGGAAGTATTGCTCCCTTTGGAGTTAAGACCTCTAACCTCGTAGAGCATAAGGTCATGGAGACAGGAACCAAAAGTTTTGCTAGTGTGTCACTAGGGGTAATAGTGAATGGTGCTGTTTCCATTTTTACCTCTTAATTCCTGGACCTGTGAATCCTGCCTATAAGGAAAACATCACCGTATACTGAATACTAATTAAGAGCATATACAACCTCTGGGGAACCTTGCCTCAGTCCTGCAAGGTACTGACACCTCACTGGCACTGTTAGTTAATCTTCAAAAGGCCATTCTATCAAGCCAGTTGCTTCAGGATAGTAGGAAACATGATGATAAGATTAGTACATTCCATGAGTATGACTCCACAGATCATTTCTTTTCCTGTGAAGTGAGTTCCTTGATCAGAAGCAATGCTGTGTGGAATACCATCGCAGTGGATACAGCATACTGTGAGCCCACAGATGGTAGTTTTGGCAGAAGCACTGCATGTGGAGAAGGCAAATTCATATTCAAAATATGTGTCTATTTCAGTAAGAACAAATAGCTGCAACTTTTCCATGATGGTAGCAGTCCAATGTAATCAACCTGCCTCCCCGTGGCTGGCTGATTGATCACCTGAGGAAATAGTGTCACTCAGGGATTTAGTGTTAGTCCCTGCTGCTGGCAGATTAGGCACTCAGCACTGAGCAGAGCCAGACAGGTCCTGATGAGCTAAAGTCCATGTTGCTGAGCGCCTCTGTAACCCCCATCCCTGACAGCATGGCCACTCTGTTCATGAGCCTACTGGGCATTGACAGGGGAAAGAGTCTGTCTGATACCCAGTCATCCTCTCCTCTTGATTATTAAAATACTACTCTGATGCAGTTAGCCTATAGAAGCATTACTCCGTTTGAAATTAAGACCTCTTAATTTGGTGAACATTCACATGGAACACCAATATCTTCACTTTCTTGCCCATTCAGAGAGGTCTACCTGCATATACCTCTTACTCAGATTTCCTTGTCACAAATTTTCCAATCAGGTTCCTCCCATATGCATTATGGGAGTCCCAGAAGAAGCGAGAGAGAAGAGGATAAAAAGCATATTTCAAAAACATTTGAAGAAATATTTGCCAAAACCGTCCCAAAGTTTACTTCCCAATGTGTACTTCCCATAGTATACACATACACACAACTTCAACAAATGTACTCTGGTACATTTCTTAAAGTGAGAAACAAAGTATATGCTAATTAAAGAATCAGATCCAGTCTTATGATTCCCAATTCACCACTGTGAACAATGTGCTTAAATTATTTTGCTCAGATAAAAGTAACTATGATAATATCCATGGCCTTTCTATGTGAGGGGGAAAAAAATAACCATCCAAAATTTTCATTTATTATATGTTATTTCACTTTGTTCAAAAGATTTTCTACTTATATATATACTGAGATTATACATATAACAACATTTTGCAATCTGAGCAGACTGAGTGGTTACAACACTTCTCATCAATAATATGGGAGTCACCTTTTATGTTCATTACTGTGACACTAAGAATAATAATCTTGTGGCATTATTTTTTTCTCCTATTGATAACGAAAGAAGCAAGATAAATAGCACCCAATTTTGGATATATAGAAAATCAATTCAGTATGCCAATGAAAATAAAGTTTCCTAAAAAAAAAAAAAGGTTCTTGCAATCGAAGTGACTATACAAGTATTCTTAACATGGTAACTGAAACAAATCACATATACTAAATAAGCAAGTGACACTTAGAAAACCATTCACTTTAAGGAAAGCTGGTCCTAAAAAGAAATTAATAAAATGTCTCTTCTCATAACAGACAAGAGAAGAAACTTAAAATATCTAATGCCTCAGGAAACACAGTTATTAAACAGTTTTCCCATTCAGCAGAACACAAGTATTCACTTCAACTTGTCTTCCGATTCAGGGTGGCCTATTTAATGCCATTCAGCTTTTGCAGGCTTATTTTCCATTTTTCATGCCCAATTTAGGTAAACTATAACTAAAAGGTATAAACTCTATAAGTTATCTTTACTAAATTCATAATTTAATTTTAATGATGAAATTTAATCTCATCTATAATCACAATATTTTACTGATGTCTAAGCATGTAATTTTTTAGTAATATTCAGGTAAGCCCCTTTCTATCACCAAAGCATATTCATAGATTAGTGGGTCTTGCATAATATTGCAGCCCTATCTTTAGTTCAATTGCAAAAGTTCTGAATTCTCATAAAACCAAAGCATCTTGAAATGATCATGTAGATCTTCTTTTACCACAAGATTGGACACAACATTAAAGGCAATTTAGTTGGCCTCTCCATTATCTAGGCCTACTTTTGGTAAGAGATGCACATGGTCTATGTTTGTAAGGCTGGCAAAGGGGGGAAAAATTCAATCTTCTCTGAATAGCAGAAAAAGTTACTTCACCCTTTATAAGAGAGTAGTTATTTCATTCATATAGTCAGTCTACTTAACTATTATGTGTTGGACTGTAACTAATAATGTCTCATATTGATTCATTAATTTGCTTAACAATAAAATTTTGCTTAATGGGTTAAAAAGCCATTTAATTATTCCAGACTCTAAATCTGTAAAATAAACTATATAAAATCTAAGGAACACTGTGAAATTCTAGGATTCTACCTTAACATGATGCCAAAAAAAAAAAAAAACCAATGATATTGACTATCACATTTTTCTCCAAAATCTATCACAATAAATAACCCTTGAGACAAATTCCAAGAAAATCAAGTGAAACAAGGAGGCAATCTTTAAAAATCTGAAGAAAATTTCATACATTAACAGAAAATCCACATTTCAAAGAATCAATTAAAAAATATTATCAGTTATTCATAAAGATTTAATGTTAATTTGAATGGGGAAAACAGATATTGGTACAAAGAGTTAATATAAAGAGAGGTGCCTTTTTAAAGTTCTCATCTGGGACAGCAAAATGACAAAATTTGATGAGCTTTCAAGAAGCCAAAAGTCACAAGGAACAGGTTAAGCATTGTGATTATGAGCTATATTTTGAGCTATATTTTGGAAACAACTTACCTAAACACTCTCCTTCCAAACTAATAGAAAAAGTCTTGTCCACCCCAATGCACTCCCACCCAACCTCTGCTATCAAGAGAAAGACAATAAACCTTCAAATAGCTTTTCTTATTCATACCAATCCTATATATACTTTACAAATTTTACATCTACAGTTAGAGGTACAATATAAAATATATATTAGAAAAATTCCTATTTGTCCATTTAATCTTCAACCAGCTAAATAAATTTATAACCAGCTTTCTTCTTTTTTTACTGCCCCTCCCCCAAACAAAGATGCTGTCCCCTCTGTTTATGGCTCTCAGCACTTACTTTTTGCCTGGCATTTAAGTATATTAAAATAATTAAAGAAAACAAACAAAAAAAAAAACTCTCAGCTGATCACTCCAATGAGATACATTTTTCTATTTAATAAATGTTAAGAGAAAAGTTGTAACTTTCATCACTTGTTTTCTTTAGGTTTAATTCCACTTGGCTTATACCATTGCTAAATAACCAGTTCATAATAAGATATCCCTGCCCACAGAACTACTTCCTAGCCTGCCTGGAGGATACCAAACTTTATAAATCAGGATAATTTTCTACCACACAATTTACTGGCTAGCCACACAGGTACAGTCTCCCTGGCATCACTGCCCCCTCGTGTGCCCCCCCCCCCCCCGCAATCTCCCATTTACCCAACTGGTACAGTGAAGCCCTAACCCTCACCCTCAATGCAACAGAAATTGTAACAGAGGGCAAATGGTATGTTTAGAAGCATCGAGCTCTCCTGGCACAGAACAAAGATAACTGATTGTTAGTCCCGGGCACCCCAGCGAACTACATATTCTGAGCATTTGGCCTTAAATTGTTGGGTGAAATGTTAGCCCATCCCGGTGACAAGATAGAAATGTCAGCCCACGTCAGCCCACCCCAATCACTCCATCACGGAACATGCAAACTGTTTCCAAAAGCCATCATCCAACTACCTCCCTGGCATTTCAAGAGGAAGGTGGCATATACACAACATCTGCCCAGCTCGGACAGGGAGGGAAGTAAAAGAGCCGGAATTCTTAAGGGGCCGCTGAGTCACCTACAGCTGCAGCCAGCAGCTCTGCCCTCCAGGAAATCAGGCTCTGCCCCAAGGCTCAGCAGGGAGCGAGGGAGCATAGTAGCAGCAGCAGCAACATCATCATCCTACCAAAAAAACACTCAGTGAGCTTTTAATAGAGTTGCCACTCCTTCAAAGTGAAGCCCAACACACATTTCCTTTGCAAAGTTTTCCTCCGCAGTGCAAAACAGGGGCAGGCGGAAGAAACATCTTTATTGTGGGGAAACGGAGGGCGCACTCATGGGAATGAAGGATGCCTCGCTACCTGGAAACTTCCTGCCTCCTGCCTTCACCCCCGAAGGGCCAGGGGTTTTACTGCGACATGTGGCCCAAGGATCAGGGTAGACCTTTGGCCCCGTGAACTTGGCAAAGCAGAAGGGGAAACATGCACCGGGAGCGATGGGTGGAAACTCCACCAGGAGAAAGCCCGGTTCGATGGGCGTTTCCGTGACACGGCAATCACGTGTATTTGTGGGTAGACGGTCGGAAAACACGGGACTGCGGAGCGTGCAGGGGCCAGGACCCGCCGACGACAGCAGGTGCAGGAGGGCGCCCCCTGCGGAGGGAGAGAGGGAGGGGAGCGGGCCGGCTTCCAGCCCGGACGGGCCACGCCCCCCGGTCACCTCAACCTCGGGGGGCGAGGCCGGGGTGGCGGCGGCGGAAGCCCGGCCAGCTCCCCGGGGGCCCGGTGGGGAGTGTCCTGCCCAGGCCCAGGCCGCCGCCGGGCGCACCCACCGCCGCCTCGCGCGGCCCGGGTTCCCAGACCCTAAGGCGGGTGTCCGTTTACCTACTCCCGCGCCCGCTCGCCGCCGCCGCCGCCGTGTCGCTCAGCCAGGCCGGTAGGTGAGCCGCCCCCAGCACACGGACTCGCACGTGCACGCCCGGGGTACGGCCCCGGACCCGTAGGTGCGACCTCGGCCCCCGGCCACACACGTTGGGGTAGCCCACAAGCCGCCCGGCTTGGAACACCTCTGCCCCCGGAAGTTGATTTCCTCCAAGGCCCGCCCAAAGCTGCGTGCGTCACTCAACGCAAGCCTGAGAGTCACGTGGCCTCAGGCTGAGGCTGAGCAGAGGGTTCCTTGCTCTCAGCCCAGTCACTCTTTGCTTCAGTGGTCCACAGCGGGTTGCTGTAGAAAAGGGGATGATGATTCAGGAGCTGCTTCCTGTGAGCTACTGCCTACGGGCAAGGCGCTATTTCCTACGCCTAATCCATGCAAATAAAAACATCCCCAAAAGGACATGCCCATATGGGATTGTTCTTGAGAAGAGTTAGGCCTACTCTTTTCACCACCAGCAAGCAGAGCTCAATAAATATTGCAACTGAGCTAAGTGGGTGACACGCAGTTAAGTGCTCAAGAAACAATTGACTAGACAGCTGAGCCATCTTGTCTTTGAATATCCGAACTCTCAACCTAGGGCAGTGGTCAGCAAACTCATTAGTCAACAGAGCCAAATATCAACAGCACAAGGATGGAAATTTCTTTTGAGAGCCAACTTTTTTAAACTTAAACTTCTTCTAACGCCACTTCTTCGAAATAGACTCACCCAGGCCATGGTATTTTGTGGAAGAGCCACACTCAAGGGGCCAAAGAGCCGCAGTTTGCCAACCACAGACCTATGGGATGCACCTAAGCCAAGAGACTCTTCAGGCCAATACTATGTGACTTCAAAGCAATCTGCTCTATGATTACTTCTTGTCCTCAACTCCAGAACACAACAATTTATACATGCCATCTCTGTTTCAGAGACTGTTTATTTTCAGCTGGCAGGCCACATGTGAAAGATTCTTCCATTTTGACATGGGAGGGATCTGGAGAACATTTCTTGAACCATTTTTTATTGAGCACATACTATATGCCAGCACTGAGCCAGATTGTGGCAATCCCAGAGGGAAGAGTACCCACTCAAGATCTCTGCTTCCTGGAGTTTAAAGTCTATTGAGAAAGAAAGACAAGTAACCTGGGAACTTTGAATATAAGTCTCCAGAATATTCACATTAATTGTGTACCAGGCATTCTTTAACAATTTGGGGAGCAATATTTTCTCATCTTTACAAAGAACAAATCTGGCTCAAACCAGTAATAGTCTCTGCTATGTACTGAGAAATGTCAAAAAGAAATCCTATAATCCTCCAGTGGTTAGTGAGCAGTTTCAAGTTGAACACAAATGTCACCTCTTCTATAACCCTTTTCCTTCCCACCTATTTTGTGTACGTAGCAAACAGATTTCTATTACAGAAAGTATTATACTTTCTTACACATATATGTTTACCCATCTACTAGACCACCAAGTCAAAGAGCAGACCACTTCTCATTTCTATATCCAGCACTCTACTTTTCACTTGTTTTTGTATATCCAGCAGTCCAGCACAGTGTCTGGTAGTTAAAAGAAAGGTATACAATAAATGGTTGTTAAGCTAAGTACATTATTATATGTCTCCTATATCTTTCTGCTGGAAACTTCAGATAAGTTTCCAATAATATATCTACATGTTCATTTTGTCCCACCTAACCCAATATTAATTATTATTAAACAGGTTTATTATAGTAATAGAAGATAATATTTGCCAAACATTTGTTATGAGCCTGACATTAGCACATAAATCCATTATCTAATTTGTTACCACCATCATCCATCACTTAAATATATTCACTTTTTTTAGATGAGGAAGAGTAATGTAACCAAATGACAAGCAGGATTCAAAGCCAAATCTGCCCGGCAGATTTGTGTATTCACTGTAACACACTGCCTCTGCTTTCCCCATCACATGCTTATCAGTGCATTCAAATTCTGCCAACTCTATGAGGTCCTCCTCCCCTCCCCACTATAATCTGTGCCTTTTTTATTGAATTTACAATTCAATTGTTTTTAATATAGTCACATAGTCATGCAACTATCACAACAATCAATTTTAGAATATTTTTATCACCCCAAAAAGAAACCTTATATACTTTGTCAGTCATCCCCATTCCTCCCACCCTCTACTTCATTCCTAGGCAACCAATAATCCACTTTATATCAAGGAATGGTTGTCTATTCAGTATATTTCATGTGAAGGGAATTATACAATACTAGTGACCCAGTGCACAGATTGAAAGGAAATTAATTAGAAGAAATAATTTAATATTCTTATCTGCCCTTTCTCTATAATAGAAGAGTTAGAGATTAAAGAAAATTAGTCACCAAAACTGGTTTGGCTCAGTGGTAGAGCGTCAGTCTGTGGACTTAAAGGTCCCAGGTTCGATTCTGGTCAAGGGCATGTACATTGGTTGCGGGCACATCCCCGGTAGGGGGTGTGCAAGAGGCAGCTAGTCGATGTTTCTCTCTCATCGACGTTTCTAGCTCTCTATCCCTCTCTCCTCCTCTCTGTAAAAAATCAATAAAATATATTTTTAATTAGTAAAATATATATGAAAATAATATATAAATTGATTAATAAATATACAATAACATGATATAACAACAAAGATATGATATAAAAACAACAAAAACATGACATAAAAAAGGACAAAATCATGATATAAAAACATTAATAAAAACAATGACTGATAAATTGATTAAACTTATTCTAACATTTTCCTGTATACCGCATTAAGAGTGAAAACACTTTCAGAGTGCCTAACTAATTTCCCTTGTGATGAAATATTTACAACTTCAATGTCACATGCTCTTGGAACTGGAGAGAAAGCAACATATAACTGACCATGTCCAAAAACAGGTTCAGATAGAAATATTCCTACTCTGTCTAGAGTTTGTCCTAATAGTCATTGCAAGTGCTGGCATCACGAGAAACTGTCATCAAATTAATTTAAATGGGAGTCCAGTGTCAGTTGGGGACAAATCAATTCTTAGAATCAGGACAACCTCTCCTTCCACAGATCCTGTAAATACTTCAGCTTTGACTATGTTAGGTCGCAATCATTTACTAATATATCTAGTACCATTACAAAGACCCCATTTACTATTAAAATTTCTCAGTAGCATGATGATTGCACCTACTTTCAATTTTAATTTATGACATGTATTCCTGGAGGAGTAATACTACTAAGAAATTCAATGGGAACATTTTCCTTTTCAACATCATCCATTGAATCCATGGAATCATCACTCAAATAGGTGTGAAAATCTCCATAGAATATATCCAAAATTTCTTCATTTCTTTTATGAACGTGCTCATTTTTAGGACAAGAATCACACGTTTAGATATATTTTAATATTATCTACAGATATACTATTTCCAAAGGTAGCTTCAAGAATATATCTGTTACAAATCATTTCACAGGGGATTTAATAATATCCATTCCAAAATGAAAACTGCTATCAAGTTTGTCATCTTCAAGCTTTACTAACCATTCACTATGAGCAGAATCCTCTAATCTCATATTTGTTTTAAGAGACAACTGTCTGAAACATCTCCAGACACTATAGTACAGTACTTTAAACTCGTTTGTACTGTAGCCAAATGCATAGCATGTGGCACAACATTGAGACATTGTGGAAAATCCCCTCCGAGAAGAACTTTCCCAACAAATGCAACAAAACAACCAGATTCACTATGGACAATGACAGATCAAAACACATGTGTGCAATAGAAAGCAAGAGCTTTCTATGTATTGAGCATGCATGAATTAACATTTATTTTTAAATTGCCAGTGCATGTCATATGTACCGGCCAGTCTGTTAGTCGAACACACTGACAGTTGGTCACTTAGCTTTTTATGTATATAGATGTATTCTTTTAGAACTAGCTTCTTTCACTTTGCATCATGTTTTCAAAGTTAATGTATACATTCATCAATTGATGGGCATTTTAGTTGTTTATACTTTGGGTCTTTATGGATAATGTTTCCACAGACATTAATATACGAGTTTTGTGTCAACATATGTTTTCGTTTCTCTCGGATATATACTTAAGAGTGGAATTGCTGAGTCATATGGTATCTCTATGCTTAACCTTTTGAGAAACTGTCAGACTATTTTCAAAGTGACTAAGCAATTTTACATTCTCACCAAAGATGGATATGGGTCCTGATTTCTTCACAGTGGCTTTTCTTATTTCCTCTAGAATTTAAGGCTCTATTATTTTAATGGTGTGTCCATAGCCATCTTGTCTTATTTTTACCTTTTTTGGTGTTTGTATCTGCAGGTCTATTGTGCTAATAGGTTGTAACCTTCTAAGATGAAAAACGTATTTCCTACCCTCAAGAGGATCAAGTTTTGAGAAAGATATAGACAATCAAATGAAACATTAGTATGGCAATAAGAAGCAAAATCAAGATTATTCTTAAAATATGGAGTAAAAATACTTAACTCAATCATGTTAAACAGGAAATACTTCCATAAAATGTAAAGGTCAAGATGAGTCTTGAAGAATCAGTAAGAATTCGCCACACTAAAAAGGGATAAAATTATGCTCCAGAAAAAGGAGCATGTATGTTTGTATGAATTTCCTTGTCTATAGATGTAAAAGTAAGTATAGTGTATAAGTATGTTACAATAGAAGCAAGGTGATGGTGTGTGGGAATGTGGTGGGTGAAAAAGGAAATGTATATGATAGAGAGTTTTATAAACTGCTTAGAAGTTTGAACTCTATCCTGAAAGTAATGGAAAACTAATGGATTACTTAAGGTTGGAAAATAATTACTTCAGCAGCAATGTGGAAAATGAATTATTGGTTAGGGGAGAGGTAGCCAACACTGGACACATGGAGAAATCCATTATAAAACTAATAAAATAACAAAATGAGAACTTATAAAAGCCTGAGTTGAGGTGGTAACAATGAAGTTGGCAAAGAGGATTTGAAAGGTATGTAGGCAGCAATGCTATCGGAAAGAACTGAGGTTGTATCCCAGGTTTTTGGTACTACTCAGGGAGGTAGGTGATTTGGCTCACTTGCTGAGATGGCTCACTTGCTGGTAAAAATAAAGATACACTCAAACGATATAAACGTTCAGTTATAAAATAACTGGATGGGAATTAAAAAGTGGGAGTGT